GGAGGTTCACAGAGTGCTGTACCTGCCACGAATTCTGGTGACGTCTCGGTGTGTGTTGTCACAAAGTGCTGCGCCTGCCAGGAAATCTACACATGGAGGTGCACAAAGCGCTGTGCCTGCCATGAAAGCTGCACATGATCTCTGTGTGTGTTGTCTCGGTGTGTGTGATCTCTGTGTGTGTTGTCTCGGTGTGTGTGATCTCTGTGTGTGGTCTCTGTATGTGATGAGACATAGAAAAGAAGAACCCCACACTAAGATGTGGGGAATAAAAATCCAATGTCTTGACCCACCACTCAGGCTTTCACAGTTTCATCCTCCAGCACCACATACTCTACTTCCTCATCCTGCACTGCCAATAGTGCAACAACAAATCATGAAGTATACAGTCACATTGTCTTCTCCTTGTTGGCCATCCCAGCTGTTGCTGCTTCAGCCTTGCAGGAATCAATGAAAAGAAAACACTTGGAACCAATGAGATGAACACACTTGAAAACAGTTTGAAACCAATACTGCTGCAGAGAAGCAGTCATCTCTGCACCCCTCCAACCCCAATTCTCATGATGCCACATCCATCGCCATTCTTCCCACTTCATATATCTGGCTTGGGCATGCTGACAAACCAAAAGCTGCAGTAGCAACAGTTTGAACATGACAAGGCCATATACAAGTATTTAAACAAAAACAGCCTTTAATGGCTTTCAGATTGCAAAAGCTAAGGGTAAGTGCCTCTAATAGCCTGCAAGGGGTAAGTGCCTGTAATGGCCAGATGCCTGCAAAGGCAAAATGCCTGTAATGGCCAAATGCCTGCAAAGGCTAGATGCCTGTAATGGCCAAATGGCAAAGGCAATTGAACACATGAGCCTGCACAGGCACTTGAACACATCAGCGTGCAAAGGCAATTGAAAACGTGAGCCTGCAAAGGCGATTGAACACATCAGCCTGCAAAGGCGATTGAACACATCAGCCTGCAAAGGCAATTGAATACATCAGCCTGCAAAGGCAATTGAGCACATCAGCCTGCAAGATGGCAGTTGGGAAACATAAGCCTGCAAAGGCTAAGCTGTGCAACACATGTTGTTCCAAACTCTGCTGGTGGACAATCATTCATTGTCATTGTCATCTTCCAAGCCATCTTTTGCTTCTTCGATGTTGTCATCTTTTCTTTCCTGTCCTTGTTTGGTTCCAGCTCTTGGGCTTGGGCTGCAAGATGGCAGTAACATCCTCCATCAGAAAATTGCACAGGGCAGTGATCTGGCTCTCCTCCAGCTTGATGACAATGTCAGCCTGTTTGAAATTGGCTGGTGTCCTTGTAGTGACATCCACACGCAAGAGCCTCAGGGTCATAGGGGGCCCCATTTTCTCCAGCTGTTTCTTCAAAGTTCTTGGGTCCAAGTCTCCTTTTTGCTCATCTTCAGACTTCTGGCTGGCAAACACCAGACCCCTCCTCCTCAATGGCTTGCATCACCAACTTTTTTTGCATCTCAAAGAGTTCTTTCCATTTCATGCTGGCACTGAAGCTAGCATGCTTCAACTTCTTGAACTTCCCACGGTGACCAAGCACAAGTTTACACAAGGAATAATTGCTTCGCCTGCATCTCATCCACTTTGAGCCATCATCCAGTGTTTCAACCACAGAATCAGGCCACTGAATCTTTGGCCCACCCCTGTACTCAATGAAGACCTGCTGGGTGACTTTTGCCATAGCACTACATAGTGAAACAAACCATTCAGAGCTTGGAACAAATGCCTGCAGAAGTGTAGAAGTGTCTGAATGCCACACACTGTTTCATGTCAGAGCCTGCATGGGCTATATGGACATTGCTTTGAGGAGCCTGCGCAGGCTGCAACATCTTCATGCAAAGTTGAGCCTGTAAAGGCTACCCAGATGTCATCCTGCGCAATGTTTTAGCTTGCAAAGGCTACTGAGCTTATAATGGCAAGATTTTTTTCACCAATGAGCCTCATAAGGCTGCAAAACATTTTTTCACACAATGACTTCTGCACAAGGTCAAGGGCCTAAGCCTTTTTGTCTTTCTTTTTGGGTTGCTCATCTTAATCTGACTGGAGTTCTTCAAGCAGGGGATTGACAACCAATTCTCATATTTCACCTCCTGCACCTCCAAGAAGAATTTGATATTCATGACCGATGGCAAAGTCTATGCCAACAAGAACATCAACAAGGGAGCCCTCAAGATTTTCCCCTTTGGCAATGTGCAAAGGGTCAAAGAGGTGAAAGATGATGAGAAACAGAAAAAGCGTCATCCCAAGGTGAGTGTGAAGCTCTTGCCTGGGGGGGGCTGCCTATCAAATCATGTAGCCCAAGGTGAATGTGGAGAAACAAAGTGGTGCCATTTCTTTTGGGTGGGGGCCACAAAAGATGAAGGCCTTGTGAACAGTCAGCCTGCTGGTGCCTGCCACGGGGATTTGGAAATAGAACATTGAACAACATGTATGCCTGCTTCCATTTAGAAGACACAGCCTTGAACAACATGTATGTGTTTATAGAGTTGATTTCATCTTGACACAGCCCTGCAGGCTTCATACAATTGTCCAAAACAGCTGCTTGAACTTCTGCCTTTTCTTTTTCCAATGCCCATGCAGAACAAGAAGCCAGTGAGAGCTTAGAGACCACATCATCATCTATCTTGCAAGGCATTTCCTTGGCAGTTGACCTGAAGTGCTTCAGCTCATCATGAGGGACTTCAACCTTGGACTCTCTTCCATGCAAATCCCTCACTAGGAAGATTCTATTCACAGGGCCCATGGAATCAAACCTATGGATGGCACTGCTGTCCTTTCTGAGATAGTTGCAACCCTTTCCAATCATGGAAAGGTCTGCGCAGCAATGGTGGCAGCATCTGCAGCTTCATTCAAGCTCATGACTTTGCCCCCATGCTTCTCAGTGGCACTTGCTGGTGGCTCCTTGCATCCATGCGCAGCATTCTCTTGCTTGAACAACTCGTGGATAGCTTCAAGGCTGCCACGCACTGCATCTTCTTTTCCTCTCCCTTCTTTGTTTGTCAGCCAGAGTGCTGACCTGATCCAAAACCTGGCCAACACCTTCAGGCTATGTTTGTCATTCAAGACATTCTCTTTGCCCAGGGCATCCCATGTGAGCGTCAGAAGTCTCTCACATGCACCCAGCCTAGTTTTTTGTTGAGGGCTTTTCAATTTGTCCAAGTCTGCCCTTCTCAACAGCTTGGCAATTCCATCCACTGTCTTGCTGGACCCCAGGTTGGCTGCTACCATTGCAGCCCGACAAAAGGGATACAAAGTAGTCTTTGACTTCAGATCAACCTTTGTCACAGCAGTCATGAACTCTGCACCCAGCCATACAGAGTTTCCATCTCTTTGTGCTCTTTCCCAATCATGTTGGCTGTGTTCATGCTTGCCTGTAGTAGCTGTGGCAGCCATCCACATTCATTTTCTACTTCAGACTCCTTGTCCTGGAAGTGTGCTGAGAAGCTATCCACACTCATGCATCCTTGGTTGACAGATGCCAGCTCATGCACTTCTGTCATACAGGCACCACAGGCCACTGCCTTGCAGAACTGGCTTATGTGGCTTGAAGAAACAGACATGAATTTCTCTTTGGCAGATATTGGTGCAAGTCTCATCTCAGAATTCTCAGCCGATCTTTTCATGGCACCAATCTGTGCATCCCTCTGTTTCAAATTGCCACTCATCTCGAAGCAATAACTCTCATTCAGCTTCTTCTCATCAAATCGCAACTGTAGTGCATGGAGGCCCTTTTCATGCACATCATGGGAGTTGACCATCATTCCAGACCGGTTGTCTGGATGTACAGACATCCACGCAGGCTCTAGCTTCTGCGCATACATGTCGCCTTTGTTTTGCAAGACTTTCAAAATTCTGTTCACCTTCAAGTTGGGATGCCAGACTCATCCCTGATCTTCTCCAGAGTGTTGACCAGCTCAGATTCCATGGTTGACATGGCAGAGTAAGCAGGCTCTCTCTCTCTCTCTCTTTGTTTTTATTGCTGAACATAGATTCATGCCACATGCATCTCAAGCCTTTCTATATGATAGCACGCATGTCTTTTGTTTGTTTTTGCTTGCAAAAGAAATCCACCACATGGTGAAGTGTGCAACGTCAACCACATAATTTTTCAACATGAGCTTGCCAAGGCAGTTGACATGAGCCTGTAAAGGCAATTGAAAACATGAGCTTTCCAAGGCAGTTGACATGAGCCTGCAAAGGGCATCCAAAGCCTGCAGAGGCTATAGTATGTATACACCCCCCTCTGCTGGCTCAAAGACACCAGCAGCCTGCAAACAGCCTGAACTTTTCAGTTTGCAAAGGCTTTCAGAACTTCTGCCTGCAAAGGCTGCAAACTTGAGCCTATATTGACTGAACCTGTTTGAGAATGTACATGCATTTGTGCCTGGCAAAAGGGACCTTCTTTCACATCACCCATGCCTTCACTTGTTGTGCTGGCTGCATACAGTCATGGCTCAGGCGCATGGATTTGTTAATGTGTTTTCTCTCTTGTTAGGGGCAATGGCACCTTTATGTTATCAAGACAGGACAAAGACAACACGTGATTTTTTTACTACAAATAGCTAACTAGTTATCAACCTAGGTAAGTTTGGTATTTTCAACTAGCAAAGTTAGTTAACTAGTTATGTAAACAGCTAACTTGAATGTAAGTTCCATAGAAGTTAACATACTTAGTCAAAATGTTATGTAACTATGTTTAATGGATAGAGAGTTTATAGAGTTTATATCTAGTTATAAGGTCTTATATATAATGCTTTATATCTATTTTATAGTTGGCTTATAGGTAGCTTATATTTTTGATCAGTATCATAACTCATTAGCAAGCCCACGGTTCATCTAAGTTCCATTCCCGCATGATCTTCCTAACGTTTGTCTCCGCTCTCGGGGCACAAATTGTCTAGTTTTGTCGGGGATGGTCTGGTTTAGAAAGGGAAATCGGGGCTACAAGGAGTCCGTGGGGCAGATGCATTGGCCGTCAGGCGAGGGCCGCGGGTTTTGGCGCCCTTGCGCGCAGCGACTCCGAGAGCAACTCAGATGGCCCAATGTGCGCGGAGGCTCTAGCAGAGGCGCATGAGAATGCGGTAGCGCATGTTGTAGTTACAGAGCATGCACACCCCTTCAACCGTAAGCGCAACCGTCTTCATCCCCATAGAGCGCCAACCGGTGGCGTCACCCTGTCACAGGCTTGGGTGTATTTCCGGGGGCTGCGGGGATATGGCATGGGGCAGACGGTCGGAATGCACTCTTTCAATTTCTTTCTTTGTTGTTGCAGAAATGAAGTTCAATCTTGCAAGTTTGCGCGTACGTACGAGCATGGTTTTGTCTAATGTATCAGTGCAAGGCTGAAAGAAAGTCGCTGTCGCGGCAAGTGATGGAACAGGACGTTTTTAGCGGAGAAACTTCCGTGTCACGGACGTTTACAACGCAAGCAGGCAAGACAGCCGCAGTGTAAAGATAATGTGATCAACAGTGACGTAAGTAAGAGTAAACTAAGAGGTCCGAAGCCACTTACAACGTAGTTTCAATTACATGAAACCTAGCTTAACACACATTAGCACACGTCAACTCATTTTTCCCCAGATAGCGAAGCTATGGGGTTGTTACTTCAAAAAACAATGAGCTGCCTGTGCGCGTGGTGGGGACAGGGTGCCGGTGCTGGTGCTGGGTGGTGGCTGTGCGCGTGGTGGAGACAGGGTGCCGGTGCCGGTGCTGGGCGCTGTGAGCTGGCTGCGCGCTTCTGACAGTCAAGTATGTCGCTTTCAGGTTCTCTAGATACTTTCCGCCTAAAGCCGCGTGGTGCCTTTATTGAACTGTATATACATGTATAACATATATATATATATATAGCTATATGTTTTCCAATTATTTTCTGACTAAAGAACACACAAATTTAAATGTGACTCATTGTGTGGCGTCCTACATCTCCGTCTCTGAGGTGCAAACGACCAAATGATTGAAATGTTGGCCTGCACGGTGTAGTCACCAGTGTAGTCATCGTTTTAGTTGATGACAGTTCCACTTGGCTCCGTCCAAGGTGGCGCGGCCCGAGAAGGCCAAACCAAAAGCGCGCAAGAAGAAGCGGGAAGAACCTTTGGTCGCCCAAGTTTCGGACGCAAGCGGAGCGGCGACCGACTCCGATTCCGACCGAATCCAAGAGAAATCCGAGTCGCAGATTTCTCCGTTGGCCATGCGTCGTGGAGATTTCTCCGTTGCAGCCGAGCGGGAGCGCTTGTTGGGCCGAGTTTTTTCGGAACGGCGAGCGGGAGCGGTTCGGAATCAAAGAGGACCAAGAGGCCCTGAAGGGAAGACGCTGCACCACCGGCGGCTCTTCCTCACAGAGTTAGATCCACAGCTGGAGCCGTGGCCTAAACCCGATACAATTGCGTCAATGGTGGCTTTTAGAGACGAAACTGGAAGATTGAGCTTCGATTTCATCGAAACTCAATCTTCCAAACGCAGTTTGGAGACATTGCAGGCCGTAGTTCGCCAAGAAGACCCTGAACTCTTGCAGAGATACCTAGCTCGGTCACCCTTCTCACTGGATGGTTTGCTGGTGATGGCTGAGTACCATCGCCGTCAAGGTGACTACGAACAGGCCCAGCAGCTGATCCGCCGTGCCGTCTACACCGTGGAGTGTTCCTTCGCGCCCGACTTCAGTCCCTTCGAAGCTGAAAGAGGCAAAGCGAAGAAAAGAGGAGAAAAGAGATTTGGAAATTATCCGATTTCTTCTCCTCAGGTCCGACTCCGCTTACCGTCGGACGAGAAGGACGAGTCCGGAGCCGTCGGACTGGCGTGGCCCGGGTGGAGTTGTTTGAGAGCTTTGTGGCTTCACATGCACGCCTTGGCCGGACAAGGAATGCATCGAAGTGCGTTGGAAATGTCCAAACTCTTACTTTCAATGACATTACCACGGGATCCTTTGCACGTCCTCCTTTGGGTGGATCATTTGTGCTTACGCAGCCATCAGTACAGAACACTTCATCATTTGAGCCTTTCCTTGGCTCAGTCTCTTGAGAGCTGGCAGAGCTTGCAACCTGAGAAAAAACCTTTTGCCAAATTAGAAATTGCTTTTCCCAATTTTGCATATTCGGTCGCTTTGGCGGGCATTTTGCAGAAGAGACCAAACATGTCGGCCTTGAATCAGTTGACCTTGGAACAGATTCTTTTTGTTGAAGATCTGGATGAAGATTTGTTGACTTTTGCTCGGCTCATGCGAGCCCTGCTGTACTTCCCAGCATGCGTGCGCCCGCTACTTGAAGAGGCCGGTGTTTTGTGTTTTTTTTTCGGCTAGCCTAGCCAGGGTCCTTTTTTCTAGAACTACTGTATCAGGTGAAGTGAGTCTTTTGGATCTGCCTTTGAGTTTTCGAAAGCGACAGCGACGCGTCGCCGTGTCGCCAGGCGGGCGTGCCCACGTCGGCCTCTCCGTCCTCTTCGTCGTCGTGGTTCGACTTGTTGACCTCGTCGAAGCCGTTCGTGGACGCCGTGCGTTTTCAACACTCGGAGCACGCCTTGGCCCATGGCCGGATCAGTGCGGCCTATGCCAAGCTCTGCGGAAAGCTTTGGAGAAACGACGCTTGCCTGTTGCACGCTTGCGCCGTGCGTTGGGCGCAGCTTCATGACAGCGTCTTTGCGGAGGACATTGCTCGGCACAGAACTCAATGGGCCAATGCTTCGTTTTGCTTCGAGATGATAGATTATCAAGATGTTTTGCCAGACGACGGTTTGGCCAATCCATCTGCGCCCATTTGCCTCGAACGAGCCTTCACAGCCAGATTGCACCCTGAAGTCCGGACAGAACGGTTTTCAGAAGGGTCTTGGTTTTCAGATGTCCCCAACATGTCGATCTATTCGCCGCCCTTGCTGTTATTCTTCCATTCATTGCTTCCTTGGAGCGTACTGGACAGAACCGGCGTCACTGCGCAACCCATTTTTTGGAAAGACATCGTGTACAAAGCGTCAACCACTGCGTGGTCCACTGCATGGTCCACTGCATGGTCCATCAAGGATGCAACTTCAACTCTGTGTCACTGGTGCCGTTCCAAACTCTTCGCAAATGAGTGACACTCACTTCGCCAAACTCTTCGCACTTGTTGCGAGTGAAAACGATCTGAAAAAAGAGGAATGTCTCCGTTTACGGATTGTGTACGTGGTGAGCGTCCATGAAACACTATTGGGAGAGGGACGGAGAACGTCCGGCTCAAAGGGAGGCCGCGTTGGCATTGGGCCAAACAAAAGTGTGGAACTCTAAGTGTGGAAGTGTAGGAACAAGTGCATCGCTACTAGGAACAAGTGCCTTACTAGTAGTAACAATGTTTACTATTAGGAACAAGTGCATCACTCCAGACGTGCTATCGAACGCTTCGTGCCAAGGTGCGGTATGTTCGAGGTCGGAGTGCGGGTCACGTTCCTGCCTCATCCACAGCCCCGAGTGAAAGGGCTGGAATTTTTCGAACCGGTTTTTGTGTTGGGAATTACTACTAGTAAGGCACCTGTTACTAAAGCTTCTTGTTACTACTAGTAAGGCACTTGTTACTAGAAGCGATGCACTTGTTCCTAGTAGCAAACATTGTTACTACTAGTAAGGCACCTGTTACTACTAGCGTGGCACTTGTTACTACTAGAACCTGTTTTTGTGTTTCTTTATTTGGGAGAGCACCTAGCTTCAAATTGAACACTTCAAGGACACCTTGCTTCTGACTGTGCCGTTGCTGGCAGCTGTTTGTTGCTGAATAATGCTGAATAAGCCTAATTGCCTAGCCCTAAAGATCTCTAAACTACATGAATAGCGTGAGCTTTCCTGCGTCCGGTAGTTAGTAGCTTCTCAAGCTTACTAGGCCATCATTCTTCAGCCTACCACTTCCATGAGCAGCCTACCCCCCGTAAAAGTAAATATATGTTTAAGATGACATTATTTGTGATAAATCGCAACATTTCTTTTGCAAGACTTCAGGATTCACGGCATGGATGGTAAAGAAGGTGCCGAAGCTGCTACTTGTCATATACGCCATAGCCGGGCCAGACGTATTGCCAGACGTGTTGTTTTGTGTCTTTTGTAAAGAAAAGCTTAGAATGCTGGATATGGAAAACAAGATGATGTGAGCAAGTAGTTGTTCTTGGCAACAAGTATTTCATCCTTTCCTTTTGCATTTTCGGACCGCAATTGATCAGGAAATTGCATCGGTCGATGCCACTTCGGACACTTTTGAATGCAAGCTCCTAGCGGAGGACTTTGGCGGCGAAACAGTTTATTGCAAGGCTCAGTTGATTGTTCAAAAAGCAACGCTACTAGGAGCAAAGGGCATCGCTACTAGGGGCTCCTGGCATCGCTACTAGGAGCAAGGACGCTACTAGGAACAAGAAGCTACTAGGCTCCTGGCATCGCTTCTGGGAGCAAGGACGCTGCTAGGGGCTCCTGGCTTTACTACTAGTAACAAGGACACTACTAGGGGCTCCTGGCATTGCTATTGGGGTTATGGCCTTGCTACTAGGAACAAGGACGCTACTAGGAAGAAGACGCTACTAGGAAGAAGAAGCTAGTAGGGGCTGCTGGCACCGCTACTAGGAGCAAGGACGCTACTAGGGGCTCCTCGCCT